GTCCGGGACAAAGAACGGAGTTAATTATGGCGGTCTGGTGGGAAGATCGTCGGCCATTTTTGAGTACTGGGTCATCAGCCAAGCAGATGATCTCGGTTTTAGGCTCAGAGATAAAGCGTGCAAGGACACACCGCAACGGGCGAAAATTCGCCTATATCGGTTGTCATCCTCAACCGTCATTCGGCGCTCCTCCTCCCGAGTCACTCTGTTCAAACAACTGTACAACTCAACCACCAACGTCCAGTTCCGAACCGCGCTCTCATATGCCAATAATGCTTTGAAAAAATTGGCACTTTGCCAATCACCGAAAAAGCAGTTGTCTTGGTGGCAACTTGTCTGGTTTTGACAACATGGGTCTTCCGCAAAAGTCCTCGTTGCCTGTTCTCCCTCCTCCTCCAATGTCAGATAGTCCATTGTGGGATGGATTACCCCGTCGGGCACCATCCGTTGTCGATCTGCAGCTCCGCTTCCTCGCTCTCCACTTCCTCCCTCTCCACTTCCTCCCTCTCCTCTTCTTCGCTCTGAATTTATGTGTGCTTCTGCCTCTAGCTCCGGGTGAGAGCCAATAAGTGGTGCGAGGTGGGGTAGTTTGTTCATGAACACAAACCTCCAGGTGTTGGGAGTTCTCAGTATCGCGGTTCTCAGGTCCCTGCTGACACCTTCGCACAAAGCCACGGACGGCTCGGACAAGAACGACAATATGTTCTCCACCAAATGGTGTGTTTCTTTCAAGGTAGCCAGACCACCTGCGGCACACTGAAGGGGTGCGGGCAAAGGCAGATAACCGCCAGAGCTGAAGGACCCCACGTTGAAGCAGGCGGACCCTGGAGTTAAAGAGCCGGAAGTTAGCGACCTCGGCACCTGCTCACCGCTCACAGCCGCGACCGCAGACTCTATCTCTGCTTCATCTAAAGGGAAACGCCCCACGAGCTCCACAAACTCTTTACAGCGGTTGGCCCGAGACCAAGCCCCGTCAAAACCGAATTTGGATATCGAGAAGCTTTTCTGCTTCCGTCCTTTGATCGTGGGGTCCTTCTTCAATGAGAAAAAGGCCTGAACTCGAATCTCTTTGCGCCCTTCGCACTTCACAATACATCTGGTTATGTCGATCTCTCCTACATCGTACAAAAAAATTCCGCAAGGCTTCGAAGCTCCTTTGATACCGAAGATAATGTTTTCCATTGCGCGAACATCAGCAACACAAACGCGAAGAGAGCTAACGGCGGAGCGAAATCTAACGGAGTTGCGAAAAGAGAGGAACGGGAAAGACCCTAACAAGGGTAGTTCAACAAGGACAGGAAGATCGCTGCTTGCCTGTAAACTGTCAGGCGACCGAGCCCCCGGGGGAGCCCCGCGACAGAGTCAATAGCCGATTTAGCAGATACTTCTATCCCCGTTTAGGGTAGCATCCGTTCAGGAGAGTGCTCCGTTAGCTCAGTTGGTTAGAGCATCGGCCTTATGTGCCGAAAGTCGAGGGTTCGAGCCCCCCATGGAGCAATTCAAATTTGGGTCATGTAAAATTCGTGCACAATGCGTAATTGCAATTAGATTCGGCTTGCGCTTGCGTTAGATACCGATATATGTGCCGCTTGTAGCGACAACGCCAATACTTATGACCACAACATTCGCCTTGCATCGCGCGAGAAAACTCATGGAGGAGCTACCGGTGTACAAAGACTGCGCCACAGCTCCTACGAGAATCCCAGGCAATCGTCCAGTCCGTTTAATTGAACCGAAGCATCCGTTGGCCCCGCGCGGTTGTGTTGCATATTTTAAGTACGGCGAGGAGTACTATCCGGAACAGACTGTGCCGGAATGTTACAGTTCGGTACACCCCACATCGACCAGTGGCGACGTTAACTGCCGTTGTGTGACTAACTTTCTTATTTACAACAAGCGAGGCGAGCGCCTCCTGCCTCTAGACTCCCTGGTATGTGACTTGTTGCAAAAACATTCCTGGACTTCTCTTTAGGAGCAGCCTCGCCACGGTGGCCTTGTCATGTACGGAGCCCTCTTGCCCCAAGGGCAATCGGCCCCGGGGGGACAGTTGCCACCGGGACAAGCCACAGGAGAGTACTCTCAGGGTCAAGGAGGACCTTACCCGCAGAGTCAGGGAGGGCCTTATCCCACGAGCCAAGGACAAGGACACTACGGGCAGACGCAAGCACATTACGCCGAAGCTCAAGGACATTACGCCCAAGCTCTAGCTCAAGGACATTACGACCAGAGTGAGTACGGCCAGAGTCAGAGTCAGTATGGCACGAGTGGGTACGGCGCGAGCGGATACGGTGGGTCTGGATACGGTGCGAGTGGGTACGGCATAAGGCAAGAGCAGGGAGCCGCGGCGTATCCGTCGCAGAGTCACATCTCGTCGGCGTCTGCAGTGGCGTTGGCGGCAGCGGAGAGTCGGCCGCGGAAGCGGCGGGGGGCGATTGGTTCTTTGAAGGAGCGTTGCGACCGGGAGGGGTTGCCTGGGCCGTACCCGGTGCGGGCGGAGTTGGAGAGTCTGTGGATAGATTACGGGGTGGATCCGATGCAGCCGGCATCCTTTTGGTTGGTGAGTAAGCAGGACGTATATTACCATCTGGAGGTCCCGGCGAATCGGTACGCTGCGGTATGCGAGCCGGCATTGATAAAGTATCACTTGACAGCGCGCGTGATCAAGACATTGCAGTTGAACCCCAACGCAGACTTTAACGCGTTCCTGCAAGAGCTGAACTGGGAACAGGCGCAGGCCTGGGCCTCCGGGCCCTGGTCCGGTCCCTGGCCGGGTTCAAGTGCCAATATTTCGTCTTGCTCCAGTCTCTGGCCGTCCACGGCTTGGCGCGAGGAAGCACCGCCGGCAGACCTCTCAGAAAAGTCGCTCCTTCTCCACTGCGACTACATCGAGCAACAACTCCGGCTCTTCTGCAAACACCACCGCCTCCTCGAACTTCTCGACTCCCCCTTCATGACGGTTTTCCGCCTCACCAGCACAACGTATAAATCCGCTCTCACGCAGCCCCTACTCGTCTGTGCCGGTATGCCCCTGGCTTACGCCGTACCCGGCTACCCCGTCGAAGACACCACCAGCGCCTCCACCAACTCAGTCGAAGACGAAGACGAAGAACACACCACCAAACTCTTCTGAACAAAACATCAGACCGGGCCATTGACCCGGGTCATTGACCGGACTAAGGACCGGACTAAGGACCGGACCTCGATTAGTTATTCGCTACTGCTTCCGTAGTCGGTGGAGCTGCGTCCTTCGAAGGAGCGCTAACTTCCGTCTGCACGTCCTCACTAATGGCCTGCAGCGAGTCGTCCACGCAACGCTGCACTCTTCGGTTGTACTCTCGTCGGTTCTCCACGTACAGTCGCGCTGCCTCTGAGTTCGCCGGCGACTGTGGATTCGGATCTGACAACAACGACCGAATGGAAGTCAGGATTCCGCTAATGTCATATATCGGCGTCCATTGATTCTGTAATATATCTAGACAGATATCACCATTCTGGTATACTAAAATACTTCCTATCATCTACGGCGTCATCTAGATTCCACCTTCGCCCCCCGCCTTACCATTGGGATGGAATATACTAGTTATGAACCTGACCACAGGTGGTCTAGCCGGGTAGTCTTCCGGAAATGCCATACTCAACCTGAACGTGCCTCCCTGCCATATTGTTTCCTCCGGTCTGAAAATGGAACCATTCTCCGTCGGGATCCTTCACTTACCCAAAGATGACCGCACTCCAGATAGTCAAATCGTTGCCTTCTGGGGCCGCATTCACGCCCGGAGGTGGGTCGACCTGCAGCCGCTTGAAATCTTTTAGTAGTCGTCTCTTCTAAACATAACAAACGAGTACTCCTGGCAGGAGGCAAATCATTGACATGGTAGAATAAAATGATCCATGGTCAGAGGTGCGTCACAAAAATGGAAGCATGGTATGCAACAGGCATGGGCAGTGGTCTCCGAGCTGTCTTCCCTCCACGGCCCTGTTCTTCCCTTGATGCTTACAGTTGATTCATTCAATCGACCGACCATATTGTTTCCAAAAAAAGGAAAATGTGCGAGTCCGACTGGCTTCAGGCCGCGGACACCCATTTCCTTTGTGCGCGCGACAAATTCATTCGCACGTCCCGCCAGAGCCAGAACACGAGCGCCCACCCGCCTCGGAGGCCTTTGCAGCTACCGGAGCCGAAGCATCCCCGCGCAGAGGGCCTTTTACAAAACCTGCTCTTCAGCCATGTAGACAACCGAACGCTCGACCAAGACCAAGATGTTCTCGCCGCTGCAAACGAGTGCCGGGCCGCCTGCCTTAGCGTAATTCAGCTCAACGGCGTCAGAAACTCAGTCCCCAAGACCTTCATAAACCTAGTCAGGGAAACACTTTTGGAAACGTCTCTTGTCATCAAAGACCTGAAACTCCTCGACGAAGGTAGGCAACCTTCTCCAGTCCACTCCATGCTTCTCCAGTCAATTCCCTTATCTCTGTCACGGTCTTATTCTGACGGCTTTTCTCCAGCGCTCATTTACGCGGGATACGACGCGCCCAACTCGGAGAATGTATTGGCCATGATTAACACACTTCGCGCAACTTCCGCCGCTCAGCCACCAGTCCCGGCTTGGCGGCCAGAACTGGACACTCTGGACGCCCCTTTCCCGGACAAGATACTGGAGCTGCAGGGACAGGACGCTTTAAGCAGGCTGCACACGTGTGTCGAGATGCGTCTGCCCTGTGTGATTCGGAACTTCATGTCCGACAACACACTCAGCTGGAAAGAAATCATCCTGAGCCACGGCAGTCGGTTCGTACCGGTAGAGCACAGGGGTATCGACTACCGCAGCCCGCACTGGTTCCCGGAAATCAAACGACTTCAACACGCCATCGCCGACGGCGACTACGTGGCGCAATTTGCTCTACACAGGCACCTCAACCTCCCCATCGAATCTATTCCACTCTCCACCCTGCTATATCCCACGGGAACCAGTTCAGGGCCCGCCAGCTCCGGGGCCACTGGTCGAGGGCTTCCGGTATCCACTCCACTGGCGGATATCTGCTTGCTGGACACCTCGTCGTCGGTCAATATGGAGAACTGTTGGCTCGGGCCGCCTGGTACCCTGAGCCCATTCCACCAAGACAACTACCACAACATCTACGTGAATCACTGGGGGACAAAGTTCTTCCATATTGTAGAAAACACAGAAGCCGCCACCCGTGTTATGCAACCACGCAAAGGCAGCTTATATAACACCACCTCCCGAGCAGTGGAAGACTTCGGGGACCCGCGAACCCTCTTTGGAGATCAAATACAGAACTGGCAGGTAACCCTAAAACCGGGGGATGCTCTCTTCATCCCATATAAATATTGGCACATGGTCCAAGGCCTATCGTGGAATCTAGGGGTCTCTCACTGGCACGCTCCGGCGTAGCATTGCGGGTCTCCGAATCCTCGTTGAAGCTGTTGTAACAAGTTCTCCCGGTCAAGCAGAACATGCTCGTATGCTTTCGAGAGCCGCTGAATCTCTTCCATTAGATCCCGAGTCCTGAGTCTCTCCACCGCCAGTTCCTCTTCCGTCGCAAGAAGTCTCTCTGTACGAACCCGAATGTCCTCCACGTACTGTTGCTCAAGCGCTTTCAACTTATCTTCTAATATATTTTCTGCGGTAATACACATGGACCCTGGAATACTCACTCGCCCACCTTTCGCATCATCCCCGCGGGCGGAAGCTTCAAATCTAGCGCTTAACTGCTGAATCTCTTTAATTATTTGAATTCGCGCTTGGTGAATTGCCTCCAGAACTGATGACTTGGAATGCGCCACCAGGTCTTCTTTGAGTGCCTGGAGGGTGGTTTATATTTTCCATCGAGTAACTAACCGAGCTCATGCTGCTTTCCACCATTTTCTGTACTGATCGAGCGAGACTTTGCATAAGCAAACGCGTGTGCTCCGCATTTTTGAGGCGGAATTTTTTTGCTAGCGGATGGGGAAGGTGACGCATTTCTTTGGATGCGGTATTTTGCGAGGAGGGAAGCTCGTTCACGAAGGTTTGTGGATAAGGGACGGCGTGGTGGTTGACCCGGAGGAAGTACAGTATACGGCGGACGTTTCCATAGATTGTCGCGGCGCGATAATAGCGCCAGGATTTATTGACATAAAGTTGAATGGAGCGATGGGAGTGGCTTTCTCCAATCCGGAGACTATTTCCGAGGAGAAGATGAAGAAGGTTCGCGCTTTTCTGCCGTATACGGGGGTGACGCTGTTTTGCCCGACGGTGGAGACGAGTACGAAGGAGGCGTACGGCCAGGTGTTGCCACTGTTGAAGAAGTGCGCGGCGGACCCTACGGAGGGTGCGGGTATCTTAGGTGTTCATTTGGACGGTCCGTTTATATCGATAATTGGTGCGCACAAAAAGGAGGCAGTGCGCGACTTCGGGGAGACGCCGGGCGAGACGATCAAAGAGGTGTATGGTAACGACATTGAGAACGTGGCGATAGTGACGATGGCGCCGGAACTGGCGAAAAGCTCGGAGGCGATTCGGCACTTCACTAGGTTGGGCATCAAGGTCTCACTGGGTCACTCCAAGGCGGACATCAACACGGCCGAACACGCAGTCAGAGATGGCGCTTCGATGATTTCTCACTTGTTCAATGCAATGCCGGACTTCCACCACCGAGACCCGGGCCTCGTTGGTCTTGTCACGTCCGACAAAATCCCGCGTCCACTTAAGTTCACAATCATCTCCGACATGTATCACGTCCATCCAGCCGCTTTGCGCATGGCCTACCGCATTGCGCCTGAAGCTTTACTTCTCTGCACGGACGGACAGGCGCCGCTTGGTCTTGGTCCGGGCGAGTACGACTTCAACGGCACGGCCGTCGTCGTCAAGGAAGTAGATGGGCGCTCCGTCTGTTATCGTGCCGGGTCGCCCACGCTGTATGGCTCCGTCTGTCCATTGCATCGCGCCGTCCGCAACTTGGGCGAAATCACCGACTGCAGTCTCCCCTACGCCCTCGAGGCAGTGACTAAACGCCCCGCCGAGGTCATGGGCATCTACCCTAAGAAGGGCTCCCTTGAGTTCGGCGCTGATGCGGACATCGTCCTCCTTGAACCCGGTACACTCAACCTCGTTGCCACCTTCATCGCCGGCCAGAAGTGCGCAGACAACGGCCTCCTCGGCGAACTCCAGGGCGTCCCCATCACCTGCGAAGCCCCAGAGTACTACTCACCCACCCTCAAGCGCACCAGTCTCCCCGAAGTCCCCGAGAGACTCCACTCCGACTAGGGAGGAGAACAGTGGCGCTCGTGAAAGAAAGAAGACATAAAGAGAAGATGAGCTTTCGGGACGAGGGTCCGTTTGGACTGACTACGCGCAGTTATTTTGCCCGAGCGCGGGTTAACCACATTTTTGTTCGGGCTGAAAATACGGTCAACCAGTTTGTTGTTGGTCAGTCAGTTCATTGTTTGGTGGAAATTGGCGAGTGCCGCGATTGAGGTTGCCTTTTAGATCTCCGTGTGTGGTGCCGGGAGTGGTGGCGGCGGTTTCGGGTTGGGCATCAGAGTCGTCGGGGTGGTTCTTGGCGATGTCGTGTCTGAGGCAGGCGGTGCATGCTATGGCTGTGAGCCAGAGAGCGGCAGAGATGGCCCATTGGGCAGGTACGTCTACAGCTTTGAGGGAGTCGAGTAGCCAGGAGAGGCAGCCGCCGAGAGCGGCGAAGGTGCGGTACCAGCCGACGTAGCGGTTGGCTAGTGCGGTGTTGTGGAAGGGGAGTGCGCCGATGAGCCAGAGAGAGTAGGAGGTGGCGGTGGTTTCGAGTGCTCCGTATGCGAAGAAGCAGAGGAGGAGGAGAGAGCTGCGTTTTTCGCGAAAGTCGAGGGGTGCATCACTTTGGACGCCAAAGACGTCGCCAAAGGTCATTGCAGCAGTGGTGAAGCCGAGAGCGCAAAGGGTGAGCGTAAATATATTGGCGCTGTCGATCCGTCTCGGGAGAGTGTGTGCAAGATCGCAAACGAATTGAAATAGGAAGGAGGCGAGTATCCGGGCAAGGTAGTAGACGAGTGCGTTTAGGGCGCGTGAGCGCACATTGGATAGCTGTACGTTGAAGTAGTTAAAGAGAACAACCTCATGCCAAATGGAACACATAAACAGTGGCGCCATCAGCCAAAGGTATGTTTCGCGTAAACCCGCAACCACACCTTGCATCTCCTGCTTCAAAGTCAACAACGGCACTGCCGCCCGCGACCCGTCACTACGTCGCACACGTGCTGGTGATTGCACTAACAACGATACCAACACGCCACTGGCATTTACCGCCAAAATTAACAAGAAACTCGCACTCGATAAACTCCCCGCATTCACACCAATCGTGGCGGTCTCCGGTGTCGTCTGCGCCGCCGCCGTTGTCAAGTTTACAACCGGATCCAGCGGGGGGTCCACTGGTAACAGCGAGTGGTCAATTGAAGGAAATTGCTCCGGCAATGTACTCGCCGTCATCGCGCACACACCGTCGGCACATGCACCTGACTCCCGCAAGGTCAACGCAACCCCGCCCAGCCCCCGTCCAATCAGTCCTGAATCCCTAAGTCCTGAACCAACGACTCCAATTAGGTCCGAGCCCTCAACTGCATCAGTAAGTCTGCGCAGCCTCGCGGCGCGGGCCAGCTTCCGTCGGCGGCGGCCGAGCCAGCCGATTGGGGCTCTGGGTACCAGGGCGGCGTGGATGTGGTCAAAGATGGAGGTGGAGCTCCTCGTGGTCACGGTAGTGTGTGTGGGGGCTTTGAAGTTCATAGCTAGAGCGACAAGACTGCCGGTGACGCCGCCTACGTTGAGGAAGGCTGAGTTGACGGCGAGGAAGAGAGAGCGCTGCGTCTCTGTGGGGTAGTGCACGGCGCCGGAGGCTACGGCACTGAGGTGCCAGCTGATGACGGCCCCGCCGACAACGGCACCAAGAGGTACCCAGAGCCCATTGAGACCTTGGTAGTGGTAGAGATAGACCACCAGGAGCACCAGTGTCTGCCCGGCCGCGCCCACAACTGAGCCAACACGTAACCCGAACAAATTGATCGCCGAACCTGAGAAGAAGCCCGCCAAGCACCCTGTACCATACAAGACAGTGTTCACCACGTGCGACACATGTTCATCGCCCGTTCCTAAACCCCCAATCGTGTTCAGCGCATTCCACATGCCCACCACCGCAAAGTACGCTATTGATAACACCACCAATTGTCCCCACCCCGTACACAGCCACGACTCATTCCCGGCATGCTGGCTTGACGTTGACGTCGTCCTGGGCCCAACAGCAACGGAATTCTCCGCAACCGCACGTGTCGGCAACCGCAGACTCTGGTGACAAAATCGGTCCGCATAACTCACCTTTGTAGAACGCGTCTCGCCAGACTGAAACTCACCTGATCCCGTCTCTCCGGAACACGGCTCTCCAACACCCTCCCTCTCCCTCTCCCCTTCTGCTTCGTCCACTAGGGGCGAAGTCGCCACGCGTCCATGTCTCTGGCACACACACATTTCGCGCACCGGACTGAAAATCTCGTCATCGAACATGGAGTCGCTGTAGGTACCCTCCCCACCCGAGCAACCGCGCCGACACGGGTGATGGCCGCAGTCTCCCAGCCGTTCTCCGTACCGGTGGACGTAGCCGCACCCACCTTTGTCAAGGTGAGCGTACTTTCCGGAGTCTCGGAATCGCCATTCTCGGAATCCCGGGTCTCCGTGTCTGTACCACTCGCCCAGGGGTCGCGTTTCACTCTGGTGACGCCGCGCACTCTCCGGCCATACCTGTTGCACACTCCGGCCCCTCGCCCGCGCAGCTGCTTCCGCCCGTTCCGATGACTTACCGCAACTTTGCGGTTTGGATGGGTGTCGGTCCGGTGTCATCGACCGTAGCGTTCGGCCTCGGGCTTCAACGTCCCGGGTCTCTAATCCCCGGGTCTCTAATCCCCGGGTCTCTAATCCCCGGGTCTCCAATCCCCGGGTCTCCGAACTCCGGGTCTCCAGGCGGTGCATTTCGGAGCCGAGTTCTCCACACTTCGGAACGAGAGGCCGCACTCGTTCCCTCTTTGGTGTGGTCGTCCAGCACGGCGCATCGTGTCCGTTCTGTGTTGGGTAGCCTTTTCCGCTGTACACTGAAAACTTTTTCTGCACCTGTTCAGAAATATCCCTCATTCACACTTCTCCAAAATATCGGCTTTTTACTTACATGTGCTTACGTGATATGCTGGGAGGGCTTTTCTTACTGTGACAACACGCCCACGTGTATATCTCTGCGTATATCTCTACACACCCCCGTCCTAGGCCAGGCGCGTGCTGGATGGGGTTTCCTTCATTCAGTGCTGGATGGGGTTTCCTTCATTCAGTGCTGGATGGGGTTTCCTTCATTGGCGCAAAACGGCGGCGTTTTCAGCGGCTGAAAATTTTAGTGCGCGAGGTTTGGACGGTTAGGAGGAAGAAGAGCAGCGATGCCGAGATGCATGAAGAGCAGAGACTCCTCCACGCCGTTGGGTGGAGCGTTACTGGGTTCAATTGTGATTGGTACACGAGATCACTCGGTCCGAATGTTGGGATATGAGGTGGATCTACTGAACTTTTTAGAGGCTGGACACAGCGAAGAATCATATTCACTGCCAGTGGACAGTGAAGGCCTAGTACAAATTCACTCGATTCCCAAACTTCACTACTGGCCAAGCATTTCACCCACACTTCGAAAATGTTTGTCCATGGAAGGTCGAGCTAAGAACTACGACAACGCCGTTATTTCACCATGCACCGCGCCTGATGCAATGAACCAACTTAAAATCGTCAACGAGAATGGTGAGGAATTATACGGTATTGGTGAAGAAGTGCGAGAAATATATCCCAAAAATCGGTATACTTTAGTCTTCGGTGAACTACCTTTTGACACCTTGAAGCAATTATTAAAAATACCCGATTCAGAAGGATCACAAGGACCTGTCGGTGAGACAGATGTGTAATTTTGTCCACCACTCGCCTTTTTCTCTGTATTGAAATTCTGTGCGTGTTCTGAAACACATCTTAGCAACGCTTCCTGTTGTTCGCGGAGGTAGCTATTGTCCGGAAAAACTACTGCATCACCATCTCACCGGGCACCATAAGAAAGGCAAGAAGATGTCCGCTGTCAAGGAAAGCGGCCGACACGAGAAGACAGGACCAAACGTTGTTTTTACGCGGAGGTTGGGATGAGCCCTGAGTTAGGATGAGCCCTGAGTTAGGATGAGCCCTGAGTTAGGATGAGCCTGAGTTGACTCGATGTAGAATGATCAAACTAGTCAAGCGGTTTTGACGCAAAATGTGACCCTTGTCAGATCGCAATTTCCTTGAGTCGGTACACCCGCAGTAATAGGAATAGGGCAATTATTCCTACACTGTATTCACGGGTTATAAGACAGAGTATGTATCCGTATGTTTTGTTTTGTCCCAATTAGTACCTTGGATCCGATATTGCTGATTACTTCTTTCCTTGAATACGCTCGAGTTCTCGTTCATCGAGTCGTTCGAGTTCCTCTTGTTTCTTGACCCACAATGGGTGGAGTCTTTTTGCCTCAAGTGTCCAGATAGTATCAGGTACATTTTTGGCAGCTTCCATTTCTTCTTGATATGTGGGTGGGTTGGGATCGAATTTGAGTCCGCCTTGTGGTTTCTTAACGACGAAATGATTTGGCATATCACACACGTACGGAACACAATTCTCCTCAACGTATACCTCAAATTGGTCGTCTGGAGTGAGCACTTGCTCAGGCACATCGCCGAGCTCTAATGTGGTCACACGACTGTTCTTCGTTTTGGCACCGGCAAAACTTATCTGCCTCAGCCCTCTGTCTTCGGGAAGACGCACTATATGGAATACGGCGTTCTCAGGATGAGTCCACACATCTTCGATATAGCAATTCCACTGGGAGCCACTCATCAAACCCCGGACACGCGGACGACGACGTCCATTAGTTTTCCAATGGAAGTTACGCCGACGCGTATCCTGCATCACCTTGCTCACCAGCTCGCGCTTCCTCTCTTCCGCCATCGGCGGAGCTGGCGTATTCCAGTCACGAGTATTCACTAAACGCGACTTCGAATACTCATCCAACTCAGCCATTGCCTCAGCCTTCTCACGCAGCAGCTTAGCCACTCGCTCATCCTCCATCTTCTGCTTACGCTCTGCAGCGCTCATCAAAGGCTTACGCGGCGCTTCTTTTCTCCAGAACATCTTCAATTCTGTCACACCTCAATTCTGTCACACATTTTTCAAGACGCATGCACCCCTCTTACCGGCCTTCGGGAGGAGTCACCCCGACTCACTCCTTCCCTCTTCTCCCACGAAACAGAGTCAACTCTACCCCGCACACACTTCTCACTCAAGTCGGACACACTGTAGTTCATCGTAGCTCCTTACGGGGAAATTGGTCGAGCGAAAAATGGTGGCTGCCACCTTGACGGCATGCCTGACCAAACTGAATTCGACTCTTTCAGGGAAGAGGTATAAGCCCATTAAGCACCTGACCGGTGAACGACTATCCGCCTTGGCGAACATCAAGGCCAACTTGCGGCAGCACACCAACGACGACGGTAAGGTTCACTCGAGGACACACACCTACAACGTATGTTCCCCTACGCGTATGCACCTCCCATAAGTATCTAGCCCCACACACGTGTATGGCAGATGACTCGCGGTTGCACTCCGCTCTGCACAACCAGCTTCAGGTGCTCGGTCCATCCATGCTGGAACCGTTCAAGCAGTCGCTCATTCCCGACCAGAGCAAGTTGTGCGTTGCCGTACTCGACCTACTCGGTAGACTCGCGCACACTCCGTTCTTTTACTGGAAGGCTTCCGACGGTCAGGATAACCTCTGTGACCTCATCGTCAATCACATCGCCAACGGTGTGGCTGAAACAGAAGACACAAACGTCCTTCTAGCCGTAAGTCCGAACCCTTGGCGCTGACCCCCC